GGGGATTCCGCCCGCGCCCCGCCCCCAGGGGGCTGCCCTTCCGCGGCCGAGCGACTGCCTCACAGAGGCCACCGGCCTCTTCCCCTGGCAGAATGTGGCAGGGCCCCCGCGCGGGAGTCGGCGTGAGCCCCGCCTCCTCTGGGCCGCCCGCAAGCGCGGCTCCACCCCGGGCCTCGGCGAGCCCGGCTCCGCCTGCTCGCGAGCGTGCTCCTAGTCCGGCTCGCCGGGGCCTCACGGACCCCCACCTCTGCCCACTAACGGGCACCTTCCCGACCCCTAGCGACCCCGGCCCCAGCGCCAGACTCAGGATTGACGTGTGCGGTCAGGTCCGTGGCTCGAGTGTGCAGGCGCCCTCGGTGGCCGAGGAGAACCAGACGGCTGCAAGCTCGGGCTGAACCTGGGAGCCCAGACAGCCGCGCTCCCGCCCCAGGCCGGCACGTTTTGGGGGAGACGGGGAGCACTCCCTTTCCTGGCCCCTTGGCAGTGCAGCCGCTCCCAGGGTAAAGGCCTGCTCCACCGGTCCGGATGCGCTGGGTCCTGGGCTGGCCGCACCCCCGCGGAACCTGGGCCGCCCGGGTCCGGGGCGGGCCCCGCGGCACGGTGTCCAGAAAGTCGAGGACGGGCTGCCACGTTGGGGCCCCTTGTGCTAGGAGGGGCGCCACCTAGCCACGCCCTGCGGGCTGCCCTTCGCCTGGGCCAGGTGACCGCCCTCCGCCCCGCACCCCAGTCTCCGAGGGCGCCAGGACCCCATCCACTCCCACCCTGTTACTCCACCCACGTGCAGAGTGAAGACATTAGCCGTTTATGTATAAAGAAGTGGGGAGCCGGGCGGAAGGGCGCGGGGGTCGGGTGGGGGTGCCTACAGGCCGATGACGTCATCCAGCTCGAGGTCCGCGTTGGGGCGGCAGCGGGCCCTGGAGGGCTGCGTCCCGGAGCCGGGGTGGGCGTCGGGCTTGGCGGCAGCAGCCACGGGGCGCCCCGCGTCCATGACGCCCAGCACGGCGTCCAGCATGGAGGGGCCCAGATCCAGGTGGAAGG